CCCCCTTTCTTTCTTTGACACATTCAGGTTTTCAGGTTCCATGCACAAACATTTGTTGGAGTGATGATGAACCTTTCAGAAAAGAGTGGATGTTATAAACATATAATATCTTAACAGCTCTCTTTCTATAACATCCACTCTTTTCTGAATGGTTCATTACTCCAAGACATGTTTGTGCGTGGAACTGAAAGTGGGAGGATGTACCGAGTAAAAGTTTCTGTTCAATTATTGATAGATAATAACTATATATGAGTTTTTATTCTAGATGTGCCTACTTGGTCTAACCCAGTGACTTTCCAAAAAATTCCAAGCTTCCTTGTTACTGGTGTTAAAACACTGACATGCATAATATTTAAAGATAGTGTTTGCATGAATCATATTCCGCCTAACAGCAAGCTCCATACATTATTATGCCCTTTACGATCTCCTGTTCCTAGCACACCCTGGAACACGCAGAAAAACATTCTCAGCTTCCCAGGAAGTATAGTGCAAGAGCTCTTATTAAGCAATCAGTCACTAACAAATTGACAAGATCTTTCGTCAATATAGTTGGGCACCCATTCCCAGCTTGGTGAAATGTTGATGATTTATAATATGGTGCCATTCCAAAGAACTCAAAAACAGGCCTCTGAAGGGGGTTTGAACCCACAACCTTTCAGTCATAAGGACAATAGCCCAACCACTAGACCACTAGACAACTGACACAGCAAGATCTTTTACTATAAGCAGAGTACTCATCCTCCGCATAACAGCTGGTCTTTTACATTCCTTTTTTTATTATCAGAACAAAAGCTGGTAAAGTTATGACTTTGGAGAACATAAATTTCAGTTCAATAGTTGGCTAGGTATCTGCTGATCATGAAAATACCCACATATAACTAATTAATTCATGAATATAATTTATTGTAAATACCCCAAGAACACTGTAAAACAAATGTACAGAAATGTCCGCTCATTCTTGCTTACAGTACTGTTTTGGTGTCACTGTGACACTTGAAAGAAAGAGTGAGAAGGGGGGAGGGTTGGGGGGGGGGCGAGGGGGGTTCTGGTGGAATAATAGGGAATAGAATAGTCACTGACCTAGAAGCAATTTAATTATGCTTCTTTAGGGGGAAGGGGGGGGGGTGTCAACTACTTAGTAGCTCAAGCACTTTTGATAACCATAATATATCAAATCCTAGTGGGTGATTGCCAGGTGATCTGGTGTGGTTTGCTCCTTTTTTTTCTATCGAACAAACGTCTATTGTCCTTCTCTCTCTTCCTTCTTTTCTTTGCATGCTACTCTTTTAAGCATGTGAGCATTTGCCAAAAGGTGGGATACCTGGGTGTGACAAATGAGGTCCAAAATCAACTTTATGTAATATTTCTTTAATCACCCATATTATATAGCCTAATGATTGCTCTTTCAGGCTCAGTAACTGCCAAAGCTGTATATGCAATGGTTTTGGTGTAATTCTGACTTGAATGACGGAAATAGCAAAAAGTTCGTTCATAACAATGATGACACAAATTTATGAATACTCAAAGTTCCTTTTTTCAGCTAGGCTGAGGTTATATTTTGAGACATAGCAAATAACTTCCAAAAATACATAGAATTGACAGTTTATAAAAATCTTTATTAATTTTTGATAAAATTACTTTTTTATGTCATAATAGTTATGAACGAACAATAAGTGACCAAAATACTATCAATTATGTCAAGTTTCAATGGCTAGAATTGTCTAAAATAACACTCTGGTTTAATTATAGTCAAGTGATAAATGAAAGACCATTTTACAGCTATTTTTAAACGCAAACTGGTCATAGGGATTGTTATGCATAAATTTAAAGTTCGTTCATAACCATTATGACACACTGTTTCGTTCATAACTATTATGACAAATTTTACTTTGGGCCCCTAAAATTTACTTATATTGTTCTGTCTTTCACATAAAATGGTTTTCATTTATGAGACTTTCCTTAAAATATGATAGCTTCCTCTATGTAGGGAGAACTCAAAGTTTATTCACTGAAAAACCCTTAGAATACCTTTAAAATGGTTCGTTCATAACAATTATGACAAACTTCAATTTTGACCTAAAAATGTATACATTTTGATCTGTCATTCATTTTTTAAAACTTTTATTAAATGAAACTATCCTCATAATATGTATCTCTGTACATGTTTTTAAAGTTTGTTAACACTGAAAAGCCCTCAAAATATATAAAATGGACTATAAATAGTTCGTTCATAACCATTACTACAAAAGTATAATACTAATTAAAATCCACACCCATACACTTATGATAAAAATCAAAATATCAAAATGTATGCAAGGTCTATTCTGTCCTTTAGTTGAGTTAAAATTAAAAATACATCCCAAAACAACTGTAAATTACATGGAATAAGGTTTCGTTCATAACCGTTAAATGACACACTGTTTTGTTCATAACTATTATGACAAATTTTACTTTGGGCCCAAAATTTAACTTATTGTTCTGTCATTCACATAAAATTGTTTTAATTTATGAGACTCTCCTCAAAATAAGGTTATATGTAGGAAGAATTCAAAGTTTAATCACTGAAAAAGCCTTAGAATACCTTTAATGGTTCGTTCATAACTATTATGACAAACTTCAGTTTTGACCTAAAAATTAATATTTTGAACTTTCATTTACTTAAAATTTTTATATTAAATGAAAGTTTCCTCATAATATGTATCTGTGCACATGTTTTTAATGTTTATCAACTCTGGAAAACCCTCAGAGTACAATATGTAGTTCGTTCATAACCATTACTACAAAAGAAAAATACTGATTAAAATACATACCCATACACTTATGATAAAAATCAAAATATCAGAAAGTAAGCAAGGTCTAATACATCCTCAAGTTGGGTTAAAATTAAAAATACATCCCAAAACAACTGTAAATTACATGGAATAAGGTTTCGTTCATAACCATTATGACACACTGTCACGTTCATAACATGATGACAATCCATTATGACAAGCATATTTTTGCCTCTTCTTCGCTTCTCTTTTGAGTCATCAGCACGATACTCTTCCATGTTCATTCCACCATGTAAAGGGATGTTGTGAAACAGTGGGAAGTCCCTCACATGATATTTTGCAGAAATATCATAAAGTGTTTGTTCATAACATCATTATGACAAACCTGGATTATCTCAATCAAAGTCATATTTAAGCAAAACCATGAGACGGAGCGGAAAATTACCCTTCTGATGGATCAATGTCAAACCTATGTTTAATACCGGTCATTCCCCGGGATGATATGTGTAACGGTTTGGGTTTTCTAGACCTTGGAAAGTCTGATGATGTAATTATGACACGAGTTATGAACGAACTTATAAATTTTACTCAGCAATAACATCATTAATATAAAAAAATAAAACCCTTTTAATGGACACACGCTGTTATGATGGTGTATACTAATTATTTTCAATGTTTGAAAGCACTACTGTTTGATAGTTTAAGATTAACAATATTCTGTATTTAACATACAATTACGTGTGCACTCAGGGTGAGTAAAAAATGCCCTATTTTTAGTATTATTATCTTTCTATGAAGAGATATAAGATGCACACATCAATCTACTTGCTCATGCAGCTTTACCAACTTATTTCCCTGCCATATGCATAAAGTTTTCAGAAGAAAACATATTTTTCTATGAGTAGTGGTTGATTTAAAAAGTCCTCATGCAAACACCCCCACCTTTTGGCAAAAGCTCATGTATAATCTTCGGCACTTATATATATAATATATGACCTTATTTGTGTTTCAAGTTCTGTAAAACTCTTACTCAAAGTCAAACATTTTCCTGTTTGGATGGAAGTGGATCTGCACAGTGCCTTCGTAAAGTACATCCTGTTCTCTGACCTGACTTTTTTCTGTTCGGCAGGTTGAAAGATGGTGTATAAATCGGAAGAAATGGAAATGGATGCTCAGGATAGCATCGAAGAGGAGAATGACATCATCAAGGAAGGTGGTGATGGCAGTCATGTGGAATGTCCTGTTGTTACATTCGATGTTGATGTTGGTGTGTCCAACAAAAAATTTAAGGTTTGTTTTTAAGTCAAGTTGAGGGTTTTTTGGGGTTTTTTTCAATTTTCTATGTGTGTAGGCTAAGTACAATCTCTGTGTGTGTGTGTCTGTTTGTGTGTGTGTGTGTGTGTGTGTGTGTGTGTGTGTGTATCATGTATGTATACATGTAAGTACTTCTGAGTTTTGGTTTTATCACGATATTTTTTTTTTCTAATTTAGAAAAATTGTCAATGAGGATGTACAATCAAACCTGTGTAAGACGGCCACCCATTGTCAAGGAGAAAAGTGGCCGTATAAGACGGGTGGTCGTCTTAGGCAGGACTGATCAAGAAGAAGAAAACAAATTATTCCTATCAGAGGTCCCAATCGAAAGTAGCCGCATTGTTGTTTTTGTTGTTGTTGGTGGTAGTGGTTTGTATTTTGTTTGTAATTTTTATTTTGTTGCTGATTTCGCAAAAGGGTGACAATAAAACGAAATGTATCAGACAAGGAAGACCGAGTGCGAAGTAAAAACTAACTCCTGGGCCGCCACCACTGGGAGAACGAGCGACGTTTCTGTCACAAGTTCATTTTGACGTCCTTTGTTACTTTGTTACAGACTGGGTAAACAGTGACCACTCATCTCGCTTACGATTTGTGTTTAAGTTCTGGGCGGGGCTTATGGGTTATGAGGGATCACACGCTTACCTCACCAGCAGCTGAAAATTGGTAGCTATTGGTCAACAGTAGGAGGGGCCTACGCAACATGATCGGTTGGAGGGACTACCTAACAACAGCGACAGGGGATTGAATTATGACAGCTTGCTCACAACGCTAGGGGCCAAAGCACAATTTATGACTAAACGAAATGGAGTCACTAAGGTGGCCGTCTTAGACGGGTGTTATTGCTTAGTGTGATAGGGGTTGTGTGTTGAAATAAGGTGGCCGCGGCCGCATTGGACAGGTGCCCGTTTTACACAGTTAAATTATAAAGAAAAAACTGCAAGGGGAGAAATGGAAAGTTGCCGTTTGTACAGGTGGCCATCTTATAGAGGTGGCCGTCAGGGCAGGTTCGACTGTATTTTGTTTTTCAATCCGTATTGCCTCTAAGCAGGTTGTGTCAGTGTGAATAAGCCAGAAAGCTTTACTCAAATTTAGCTTTGAAATCAATGTGTTTGGACAGCACATATGGTAATAATATGATAATAGATTTTATATCATTTGTAGTGCAAATTCCTGTGCAACAGCGATCACCATGAGCTTTACAATCTATAGTATTATCACCTCAGCTGACTTGATACCTGCTGGTGATTAGCATTCACAATAATTTATTCACTCAATTGAGTTTTTCTGCGGGACTGTGATCATAATGACAAGATTACTCAACTCATTGTATAATTAGTCTCTCCCTCCTTCTCTCCTTCCCTCTCTTCCCTCCCTCTCTTCTTCCCCCTCTCCCCTCCCTCTCTCCTTCCCCCCCATCTCTCTCTTTCTCTCTCTCACTCTCTCTCTCTCTCTCCCTCTCTCTCTCTCTCTCTCCCTCCCTCTCTCTCTCTTTCTCTCTCTCTTCCCCCCTCTCTCTCTCTCTCTCTCTCTCTCTCTCTCTCTCTCTCTCTCTCTCTCTCTCTCTCTCTCTCTCTCTCTCTCTCTCTCTCCGTCTGCACGACAGTGTACAAACTGAGAATGGCTGTGAACAAATCAAATCCAAATTAACAATAATGTCATAAATAATTAACGCACACGCTTATATCTATAAATATATGTCTGGTGCACAGGAGGAGTGTCTTGAAGCTGAAGAAAAACCTTCCCTAGCAGAGGAGGAGGAGGAGGATGTGGTGCCAGACGGAGGCTACGGCTGGGTCATTGTGCTCGGCAGTTTCCTGGCTCATGTCTTAGTGGGTAGGTCAACTGGCTTCACCTTTTTACTTTTTCCTGCATCTCTTACCTGTTTGTGTTTAATGTTTTATTGGGTGGTTGGCGGGTGCTCTGGTGTGGTTTTGCTCCTTCTTTCCTATCAAACATCTGTCGTCCTAGGCTCTTCTCCTTCTTTTTTGTGTTTGCTACTCTCTTTTAACATCTTTCATCTTCGGAACTTATATGACCTTATTGTGTTGCAAGTGCCGTAAAACTCTTACTAAAACTAAAACTGATAATTTGTTTTTAATGAAGGTGTGTTTTTACGCCCCTGTTGACACAATTTAGGTCATTTAAGAGGTAGGCTTCACACCTTGCCTGTCAGGGCCAACTCGGGCTCATAGGGATACAACATCCCAGCGAAACGACTGAGATACTCAACCAGAATTTCTCGCCACTCAGGAATTGAACTGGAGTCTCCTGCGTGCGACAGCAAATCACCTAACCGCTACACCACAGATGCCGGTTATCTGATGGTGTCAAGGGGAGAGGAAAACGTCTTTCTCTTGTGTGTCATATCGCCTGTTGCATGGTTATATCATTTTTGCCCAGTGTTTCTTTGCCCCCTATTACTAGTTTTTTTTTCCTGATGAGCCTTAGTATATATATATAGTGTTGTTTTTTGTTATTTCATAATTTTTGTGTTGATGACCTGATAAGGGAGGAGGATTGATCTGGGTAGGAGGCAAAATGCACGTGCAGCCCCCCCCCCCCCCCCCTCCCATTCCCCCCGTTCTCTGTAATGCTTCTTTTGGGGCCTTTTTACAACATTTGTTCCACTGAGGAAAAACAATGTTCTACTTGTGCTTCTAACATAATTACGAGTTTATTTTGTTGTCCCGCTTCTCCAGGTGGCTTGGAGAGAGATGACGGCGTGTTCTATCTACAATTCCGCTCTCACTTTGGGGAGAGTGCTCAGCTTACAGCGTGGGTTCTTGCCCTTGTTTCGACGATACGACTCATGTTTGGTAAGTATTCCAGAGGAACAGCTGACTGCTTACTTACTTAATAATGATAATAATAAATAGCATTTATATAGCGCATACCCCCGCTCAACAGCAAGCTTTATCCACTTTACACTATATTACTTGGTTGGAGAATAGGCATCATCGCAGTCGGCACAACGCCATAGCTGCTCCTCCCTCATATCCAGGATCCACGAAAGGTTCCGCCTGCTGTTCGTGCCAGTTAACAGTTGGTTGGATATTCCTCTGGCTTTTCCACGCAGGTTGCTTGTCTCTCCCCGACCCTCTAGAGACACCAGCTTCCCTTAGGCTGACTGCTGTGTACCTGGGGTGCCGATGTTCTGGATAAATTCTTAAATATTTGGATTTCTGGAATTGTCCAGATTTGGCGTTGGCTTTTTCTTGATTTAAGATGATAAACAATGTGATCCGTAAACTTTTTGTGACTCCCACGCACACTTTTCTACAGGTCCAAACAGTTCTGGATTTTTATTTCACAGCCAATTGGCACCTCTGATGTATGATAGCAACCCTTCTCTCTTAGCACCACAACGTGTATCTAGAGTTTAGAGAAAGTGCGTGGACTTGTATGAATGTTTTCACATCATGGCAGTTCTTACCATCACAGTACTTATTTGCTGCCTATGTCAGGCTTAAGGCAAAATGCCCTTTCTTAGCATTCCTGACCTAACCAATTGTCATCTTATGTAAAATGTGTTCATGCTTAAACACTTTCTATTGAAATGGTACAGCAAATTTAGTAAAAATGAGTGCTACATGTGACAAAAATGTGTTGTTTTTTATAACTGTGACTAAAATGTTTGCACTGTTCAATATGAAACATGACATAATGTGTATGTGTGTGCACACATACACTGCGTTCACATGCACGCTTTCACACTCATGCATGCCAACACACGCATATATATATATATAT